TGCAAATGTTTATTTAAAAAAAAGGTATTTTTCCAAGTACAAGTGTTTGTTCTCAATAAAGGAATGTTAGGTTCAGATAAACCCTCAAGTTCATGACAGAATGATATGCTTAATGGAGCATTTGATATCCAGCATGCTGGTCAAACTATTAAAGCATCAACAGTTTTTAACCTAATAAAAGTGTTTCATTTAAATGGTACCTATTTTACTGCTTTTACAAGATGTAAGATCAGCATTTGGTGTCTCCAGATTGTGTCTGTGAAGCTTCAGCTAAAAATACCCATCAAATTATTTATTATAGCCTCCAGAATCTGCTCATTTTGGTGTCTTAAGTATGGTGTTGCTGTTTTTGTTGCCTGTGACTTTAAATGCAAATGAGCTGCTTCTCCCCGCCCACCGTTCCCATGTGTCTGCTTCTCATCATGCATTACGTCAGATAAACAGCAGTCAGTGACAGAGATGGATGCAGATGAAGCTTGAATACAGCTCATTAGTCAATAATATCAGGTAAGTTTATTTGATGTATTTGCGGTGAATTTTATTCAAGCCTTTCTGAAATGAGTCTCACATATTATTACTATTGTAGCGATTAAGAGTTCGATTTTTCTATCTTTATTACAAACATGCTGTGTTTTAAACTTAGAAAAGTTACAGAGAGTTGGAACAAATATTTTAAAGCCAGTTTATTTGTGAAACGAATGTTCTGTGGACGTGTTAACAGTTCATGTTATTATAGATACATAAATTTTTTTGGGGGGGAACTACAGTCCTACGTCACATAGCGGTGGGCCTCAAAATCGCTGGGATTTGAGTGCTATTTTAACTTCAGGAAATGTAAAAAAAGAAACTTGAGTTTTTATCACTCCAATTTGCACACAGTGCTGTCCAAACAGCTTACTAAAGTGGATTTTCATCATCGGTGTTCTTTAACTGAGATTAAGGCAAGAACATCTTTTCATGCATCATAATTTCTCAGTTCTCATATCTGTATACTGATTTTTTTTCATGAAATCTCCTTTTATATTAGCATGTTCAAACATTTTAGAAATGTAAAACCAGTATTTATTTCTGGAATCAGTCACATGAGCAAGAGTAATTATTTCAGTGAAGAGTTTTATGCTAAAAGCATGGTGTGTACCTGAAAAGAGTACAAAAAAAAAAAACAGCCTCGATCGTTTAACGTCAATTTGATAAACGAGAATCACGAAACAAAAAAAAAGTAGCAATGCTTTAAATGACTTGAAAGTGGCACATTATAGCTACAGTATAGACAATCATCATACCCCTTTGAAATAACTTTGACTTTGTCATACAGCCTCGAATCAAATCACTTATCCAGGCTTTGATATTGTGTTTGTAGTTTCATCTGCTAACCTGTGCCTTTCTACAACTTTATCCCGAAGATCTTGTGAAAGCAGGGTTTAATGTGAGTAGATTTTCACAGGGAATTATGATTTTTCTGTAAGCACTTTAGACAACAATGTCACCTTAAACTAATGGTTAGTGAAGTGATATGGTGTTTAAAAAACTTTCGACTAGACGCTTTAACAATGTGGCCCTCTAGCGGTCAAGAAGAGGAACAGCTTCCCAAAACTCATTAATGTCTTTTAAAAACGACATGAATTATGATCGGCTGCGATTTAACCCCTTTAACAGCCACATCTATATTCGAATTCAAGCTTAAAAGTTATATGTATCCATATGATATAGTTTGTTAATTTTACTTCAGAGTTTGAAAAAACATATGTACAGAAGATAGTCACCTATGGCACAGACGTCAAAGGGTTAATATAGGAGACATTTTGCTGTAAAACTTCACATTTTCGTTCCCATTTGCCGTTAACGTTTTAGTTAGGGAGGAGTCTGAGGTCACGTGATTTAGTCACTGGATTCTAATAAGCCCCGCCCCAGTTTAGGTTGTCAGGTTTCCTGTATTATTAGATATTTAAGTGATTTTGGGCTACTCCTTTACACAGAGGGGTTTTTGTGTCTTAAAAGTTTTGTAAATCACATTAAAATAATTTTATTTTCATTCCTTCATTTCTTTTCAGCTTAGTCCTTGATCAGGGGTCGCCACAGCCGTACAGCAGATGCTCATTCAGCAACCCATCACTGGGAAGATTTTGACCATGGCTACATGCATAAATGCAATGAGTTGCTGCCATGTGATTGGCTAATTGGACATTTGCATTAACGAGCAGTTGGACAGGTGTCCCAAATAAAAAATAACACATTACATATGTAATTCTTTGCTTCAAGGCCATTAAATACACAGTCATGTGCCTGTTTTTAGCTACTACTTTGCTTCAAGTCAAGGTTTATGTTTTGATTCTTGTTATAGCTGTTAGCTTTATGCTTTATAGCACCACAATGAAGACTTTTATAAAGTCTTATAAATTTCTTGCCATAGGTTGAAAGTTTAAAGTGGAAAAATGTTTAGAAGCACTGCTGCTCAGAAATGTGGACAGCCACTACCAGTAGTGTTTTTTAATCAAAAGTAGTCCAAAACATTTTTATTAGTAGGAGAATATAAATTGGGCAGTATTTAAATAAAATCCTCCCAGTGCTGGGTTGCTGCTGAAAAGGCATCTGTACGGCTGTGGCGACCCCTGATTAATAAAGGGACTTAGCTAAAAAGAAAATGAAGGAATGAAGTTGTAATTTTAATGTGATTTATTAAACATTTAAGACACAAAACTTCCTCTGTGTAATGAACTATCACTTAAATATCTTATAATACAGCAAACCAGACAACCCTGATCAAGTTGGATATGGGCGGGGTTTATTAGAAGTGAGTGCCTATATCACGTGACCTCAGACTCCGCCCTAACGAAAACGTTAACGGCAAATGGGAACGAAAATGTGAAGTTTTACAGCAAAATGTCTCCTATATTAACCCTTTAACGTCTGTGCCACAGGTGACTATCTTCTGTACAAATTTGTTTGTCAAACCCTGAAAAAAATTAACAAACTATATCATATGGATACATATAACTTTTAAGCTTGAATTCGATTATAGATGTGGCTGTTTAAGGGGTTAAAACGCAGCCGATCGTAATTCATGTCGTTTTTAAAAGCCCTTTCATGAGTTTTGGGAAGCTGTTCCTCTTGTTGACCGCTAGAGGACAACATTGTTAAAGCTTCTAGTCATGAACCCGTTTTTTTAAAACCATATCACTTTAACCAAATCAATTTTATTGTCACATCATCAGCAGCACGTGTGCTATGATGAGTGAAAAGCTTGGGTGCTGGATCCAGACAATGCAAAATACAACAACATACAACTATTAGTTTAAGGTGACATTTATGTAGTGACATCAGAAACATATATGTGTTTCTGAAACACATATATTCATATGTGAATATGTTTTATTGTCTATAGTGCCTAAAAAAAAATCTGAAAATCTATACTCACATTACACCCTGCTTTCACAAGACCTGTGGGATACAGTTGTTAAGGCACAGGTTAGGAGAAGAAACTACAAACACAACTTTCTGGATAAGTGATTTGCTTTGAGGCTGTATGACAAATAGTCATCATTTCAAAGGGGTATGATTATTTTCTCAATTTCTGCTGTGATATTCGGATGGTAGGGTCAGAATTTGGCATCGACAACATGAAAGCATGGATCCATTCTGCCTTGTATTAACGGTTCAGGCTGCTGCTGGTGTTGTAATGGTGTGGGTAATATTTTCTTGGCACACTTTGAGCTCATTAGTACCAATTGAGCATCGTGTCAACGCCACAGCCTACCTGAGTATGGTTGCTACTTCCAGCGGGATAACGCACCGTCATAAAGTGCAAATCATCTCAGACTGGTTTCTTGAACATGACAATGAGTTCACTGTACTCAGATGGCCTCCACAATCATCAGACCAATAGAGCACCTTTGGGATGTGGTGGAACGGGAGATTCACATCAAGGATGTGCAGCCGACAAATCTGCAGAAACTGCATGATGCTATCAAAATCCATAGTTTATTTCCACTACCTTGTTGAATCGATGCCACAAAGGATTAAGGCAGCTGCCTTGATCAAAAGGAGACAACCTGGTACTAGTAAGATGTACCTAATAAAGTGAGAGGGTGCTCGCTGCAGAGCCATTTGAGGAGAGGTGAGCTCCAGAGAGGGGGAGCATGAGCTGTCGCTCCTCCTCCTGTAAGCTGTTTTAATGCGTACACCAACCCCACCCCTAACCCTACCCCCAGTGACATCACTCGTAGAAGAAGTGCAAAAAAGGTGGAGCTCAAGCTTAAGCTCCCCCTCTCTGGAGCTCACCTCTCCTCAAATGGCTCTGCAGCGAGCACCACTTGAATAAAGTAGCCAGTAAGTGTGTATTATGTGCACACGTACATACATTTAAAAAAAGTTGGGACTAATGTAAACATTAGCACATGCAGTTGAGCAAGCTCAATATTTACAGATTATCAGTAGGGCCAGATAAAATCTGCGGACATATTTTGCCATTTCTGCGCAGAATTTTGGTAAAAATGTGATTTTTTGCAGACTTTTTTTGAGAGTATCATAACTAAAACCCTAACACACGAAATGAAAAGTGATATCTTTTTAACTTGCATTTAATGTTTACAATGCAAATCCAATTTGATTCACTTTATTTGGTAAATAAAAGCAAGTCTTCTATAAAATATCTCTACTAAACGACAGAAAATATGAATTTACAAACTGTATTGGGAATAAATCAATTGAACATTTTCAAAGTAGTCAAAATTACTGAATAAATATGAATTGACACACATTTACACAATAAACAGAATCAATGATGGGCTAAAAATCTGCAGAATCCAGAGAGCACATCAGATTCCATGTGGGCCTAGTTATCAGCCTTGCAAAAGTTTACTAATTACAGGAGAATAAAAACAAAAACAGTCTGTACTGTTGCTGATTTTGATAGAGATCTGGCAACCTTCATCAATCATTCAGTTAGTAATATCACAAACATAAATCAGAACTTTAGAACAAACAACCAGAAGACATTTTAATGATATCTCTGTACATAATTTTATTTACATGATACAATTTCTCAGTAATGTCGGGTAACAAGATTATATGCGCACTACATATAATAAATAAAGATGGTTTGTACAAACTTGCATAACTAAAATCAAAAGGTTAGTTTTACTGTGTAAACTCAAATCTCTAAAACAAAACAGCACTGAGCAGCCAGACCCAAAACCTGGAAAACAGACAGAAAAATGACCACGGCGTTCACCGAGTGACGACACTCAAAGATCTGATTGAATGACACTAAACAACAGCACAGTCAATACCCACTGAAAAGATCAATCACACACACAAACAGAAGAAGAGTGAAGCAGAAAGAAACGGACCTGTAGTTTGCAGTCAACTGTAAAATACTCAATTCACGAACCATGCAAAACACCCACTTAAAAACCCCCACAACTCTCTGAACCAGCCCCGAAACTGCCGTCACATTACAACTCAAACTAAATCATCGTATTCATCAAATGTCTTAAAGGATCAGAAGTCAATGGTTTTGCATTAGTTGCCCCATCTAAGCCTGCAACTGTTGGATGTGCTCTGTCAAAACTGAAGCATTCTGGTCTGGCTGCGTTAAACCATCTGATTTGGATTGTTATGTAATATTTTTTTCTCTCACAAAGTCGCTGAACGGTTTAAAAAAAAAAAAAAAAAGAAACACTTGAAGAGTTGAATCACGGGAAAGCGTCTGCTAGTGTGGTGAAGGCGACTCCATGAGGAAGTGAAGAGCGTCCGTGTGCTACATGAGCCAGCCATGCACTGCTGCTCCGCCGGCGCTCAGAGCCGTAACAGTCTTCAAGAGTCCACAACACAGACTAAACCAATGACCACACATTCACACACAAACAAACACACACACACACACGTTTTCTTTTTTTCTTCCTCTCGTTCGTTTCAATGTGAAGCTCATTTACTGACAACAGAAAGATGGAGACGGTGATCACTCATGCATTGGCTTAGAAAGCGGCTTCTTCCCCATACGGTAATTAAAAAAACTAGTCTTTAGAATCACAGGTCAAAGTGCGAGTCCTTTCCTCTCGTCTCTCGCTAAATGGAGGTGAAGCGGCGGACGAGAGCTTTATATTCTCTGGATTTTATCGGCCACCACCACTGGATTCTCCTTGCGGATCTTGGCGGCGGCTTCGGCCTTGTAGTCGTACGGGCAGTTGTGCTTGTCTGAGTAGCGATGGAGACCACAGAAGAGATTCCCACAGCGGCAGTCGAACCCTGGCAGACAGAAGAAATAAAGAATCAGCGTAAGTGAGTGTGTGTGTGTGTGTGAGTGTGTGTGTGTGTATAGTTTGGGGGATTATTTGTGATCTGCAGGATGTGTGTGTGCATTAGTTCTGCTCACCCGTCAGGCCGACCTTCTTGCGGCACATGAAGCATCTGTTCTTCTTGGGTTTGGGGGCTCCGGCGGTTTTGGCCTCCTCTTCAGCTGTGCTTGGAGGTGCGCTGGACGCTGTGGGCTGAGTGACAACTGGTGGAAAAACAAACAAAAACAGTTAGCATGTATCAAAAAGCTAAAAACATCTGCACCCATGATGCAACAGGCCACAAATCAGAAGCAATCCCTCTTAAACTGGTTCACTAGTAGTCATGCCAGCAAGGGCTTGATGCTGGTGTGCATGTATAATTAGCTGTGTGTGTTGCGTCTCTGTTTTTGGTTGTAATGTGAACTAAATTCACACCTTGATGATAACGTAAAGAAACCCTTGATCAACAACACGATCATGTACTCCGCCATTTGTTTGGTTTACAGTCGTCTTGAATCTACACCTCCCTAATCTTCTAGAACTCATGCTCACGACCTCCCTTTTCAAAGACTTTCCTTTTTGACTGTTTACATGAAATGTTTATAAATGCATGTGCTTTCGGGTTACAAAAAGACATCATTGTGTAAACCTAAAGTGAAAAAAACGCATCACAAAGTTTTCAGCCCAATATGGGCAAACTGGTGGTGTTAACAGTCTCTATAGCTACAGGGGTAGCTACGAGGCTTAGTGCTCAAATCAGATTTTTTTCTTGGATCTGATTTTTTGCATGGCAGTTCACACGGCTCTAGGGCTGCATTTACACGGCAGATCTTGATGGTCAATTCCGATTTTGCGACTGTATCCGATTTTTTTGCTGACCTGCTTATACATCATCTTTAGGTGTTTATATACACATCTAAAGGTCTAAAGGTGAATCGTATCCAATTGTCTGCATTAACACAGCTCACGGCAAATGTGCAATGACCAGGGGAAGAAAAAAAAAAAAAAAAAAAAAAAAAAAAAAACTGCAGGCGCTGACTAACAGCTGATAATTAAAGAGTGCTCTTTTCTCTATTCCTGCATGTAATCTGTATATAGTTTATACAGGCATTTATAAACCTTTAGGCATCTTAACATAATGTCCATGGCATGATTTATGCATGTGATGTGTGCACTAGTTTTATATTAGTTTATTTTGGTTACGTGGCGGACATTGCGCTCTCGTTAACATGCCTCGTTAAATACCTGTTTATATGACAATATCAAAAGCTATTTCAGTCCTCGTGTATGAGATTTATGATCTGTGCCACATGGGAGAAAAGAAAAATGTGCACAAGTGCATTACGGAGAGCACTAAATGTCTAATTGTGCACACAATGTAAGAAGTAAACGCATCATCAGATCATGCGATTGGGTTTACATTTTTTTTCTAATGAAGAGAAAGTTACCCCTCCTTTGCACACAGATCCCCGATCCGCAACACCCATGACACTCTTCGGCTTTGCGATCAACCCGTGCTTCAATCGTTAACAAGCACTATATTTTTCCTTCGAAATCTTTTTCAACATGAACAACTAACTTTGTACTATGTTGCCGAGGAGTAGATGATGTTTGCAGCACAGAATGACGGGTGTTGCCTAAAGATTATGTAAAAGTCAAATAAAATCCGACATAACCGTTCACACTGCAGTCGCATTGCAGAACATCAGATCTGTCTGATTTAAGACTACATATGAAAGTGGCACAAATCTGAAGTGAAAAGATCAGATTCCATGCGGTTCGGGCTGTTCAGTGTCATCACCTGAGTCACATGAAGGGGGAAAAAATCTGATTCGGGCCACAGCTTTACCACGGCAGAGCAGACTGAAGATGCGCTGCCTTTGACCATTTTCTAATGCGAGCTAAACGTCTTTCAGTTTACTGTTAGAAAACTCACATCAGGCAAGTCTGATGTTTGGGAGTCTTTCATGCAGCATAGGTGCCATAAAAAAAAAAAAATAAATAAATAAAAATATTTTGCAAATTTCCCCTTTGCGTGATGTAAAAATACCAAGTCACAAGATTGGAACCTCAGGTTTAAAGCAGCTGCCCCTTTGTGTCTCATCACAAAAGGGCAAAAAAGACAGATATTTAGCCTATAATGCACAACCTAAAGTTTTATCTGTCATCTCTCTCTTTTAGTAGTACCCAATTCAAACATGAGAATTTGGAAACCAGATCCAAATTAGAATAGTTTTCTATGCGACAGCCCTCGCTTCCTCTAAGCAGGCAGCGGGTGAACAAAGACTGAAAATTCCGTACAGACCTCTACACAGGATTAATTAAAACACACTGCACAGATTTCCCAGTAAATGATTGAACTTGGCCAATAAAAATCATGGCCATTTTTGTACTTCATAAAAAATAATAATAATAAAAAAAGAGAAAAAGAGAAGAAATGCTATGAAAGGGCAAAGTCTGCAGACCGTTTTCACTTGTTATAACTGTTTGGTCATTCAAGCATTTGTTAGTCAGTGAAAATGATCAAAATAAAGTCAACATGATGTCTGTTACAGTTGATGTGATGTAGACATTAAAGTAATCTAATAATTTTCTTGGTATCACAGTGTCTGATATCTGTCAGCAGAAGCACTACTCTTACGCTAAAGCCTTTTATACAGGCCACATTATCATTTAAGGCTTTTAACTTTGTCAATCTGATAACAAAGTGATGAAAGCTAGATGCTAATGATCAAAAACTCTCCTTCAATAAAGTATGAAAATGTTCTGCATGCATGGAAAATTTGTATGGCTTATTGTTATATCACAGTACCATACCCCACAATGCAATGCACTCAGTACAGTCTTGAATTCATCCACGTCATGAAGCATTAAAGTGATAGTTTACCCAAAAATTAAAATGTCATATTACTATTCACTTGTTCCAAAACAGCTAGCCTTCCTTCTGTTGGACACAAAAGGGGATATTTTGAAAAATGCTGGAAACCGGTAACCGTTACACTTCCGTAACATTTGTTTTTTCCACTAAGGAAGTTAATGGTTTCCAACATGCTTCAAAATATCTTCCGCAACCCAAACTGCTTTGGAACAAATGAATGTTCATTGATGGGTGAACTACTGCTTTAAGCTAAACACATTTCAAACACTTAAGTGATATTCAAAATGAGGTACTAACTTCCTGAAATAGGTTCAGCTGAGACGCTTCTTCAATCCTGAATCAGAAATACCAACCTGGCTCAGGAAGATCTACTTTTGGCGAGGCGGCATCATCTTCACAGGAAATGCTCATCTCAGTCATCTGTTGTGTAACCGGAAGGGCAGCGGCGGCGGCTGCGCAGGGCGACTCAGCGCTAGCAGCAGAAGAGTTGTTAAGCGTAGCTTCAATGATCTGGATGGCTGAGGCTTCAGAGGTAGGACTACTGGTGACACTGCTGGAAGCTGCCGGAAGAGAACAAATCCACTTACTGTTGAAGACACTCAACAACAACAACTAATCTTACAATAATCAGTGAAGGTGTTCAAGCAGCAGAAACACATACCCATTGTGCTAATAGGACTGACTCCACCGTTGTTTTGCCGCATTAGATGCTCTTTGTAACAGACCGAGCACATGCCATTGGTCCGAGGGTTACCATAGAAACCGCAGCCAGTGGCACAGAGCATGGGCACGGGGCTTTGATTGGTCTCCTGGGCCATCTCTCCAAAAATAGGCAATTCCTACAGACAACCAAACACAAGGCCCGTGAATATAACGGCATGTTTGTGTGCGCGTGTGTGTGAATCAAAGACGCTGACTGGCTTCATTAAGAGGATTTACACAGCTAAAGGTGCGATGTTGCCACGGACAGCGAATCAGATTAAGAATCAGACGTCTGAATGCCTATCTTGGCATTGAGCCTCTTCTGGGCACAGAAACACCTGATTCAAGCCGATCCCCGCAAACTCATGCAACAGATCATGAGGAACCACACAGAGCTGGAGCCTATTGGTCAGCCTTGAAGACTCGCTCCAAGTTGTGGGTTTTTTCACTGCCCAAATGCTGTTAATCAATAAAACAACTCATTAAACTATGTGGTATAATATCAGACTGTACTGGCCGTCTAGTTCTGAAGACTCCATTCAAATAATCTGCAATGATAGTGCTGCATTCAAATATTGGACAAGCAGGAATTATATTTTTGCCAAAGGGCCTTTTTGAGAATGAGCATCCAATTTTTTTCATTTAATTTTTGGCCTTTAAACAACAATGGCATTGTGAAGACTTAAAAATTAATATTTTAAAACAGAATTTACAGAGTTTGATGCCACAACTTCCCCAAAATATTGTTCAACATGACAATTTTTTAACACCTGCCCTCCAATTCCTCTATTACTTGAGCACAATTTCATATTACAAAAGTCCATTAATAAACAAATGGACCACTATTCATTCATTAAACAATTCATTGTTGGTTTAACTTACACAATCCACACATGGAAGTAAACACTGAAACTTGCCTTCCTATCCAGTTGAAAGATCACAAAAAGCGAGACTATTTAACCCATTGTTTTCTCTTTTCTTCCGGCAAGTATAACTGAAAGCAAACTCGATCCTGGAGGGCCGGTGCTCTACAGAGTTTAGCTCCAAATTCCAAGTTTCTAGTGTACCTAGAGCTTGGTTAGCTGGTTTAGGTGTTTACATAGGGTTGAAACTAAAATATGCAGAACAACGGCCTTCCAGGACTGTTTGGTGAGGTCAGTGCACAACTGTGTTTCTGGCATCCTGAGTGCAAATCCTGAGTCCTGACAGTATCTTTTCTGATCACATCCCCCTCTCCAACTTCACTTTATCTACACATCCATTAATCATTCCAGCTATACAAAATGAATAGAAAGTGTAAATTATCTTGTATTATACCAGCTCATGAAATAATATTTTAGTCATTGTCAGTGCTGGGTAAGTTACTTCTAAAAAGTAATTACTGATCGTTATTGACATCAATAATAAAAAAAAAAAAAATTCTTTTTTTTTTTTTTAAACAATTTTGTCTACTACAAAATACTATATAAAATCCATACAAGTCAACACATAGCAGAAATTAAATATTTAAGTCTTTAAAATGACTCATACATGGCCTTTAGCGGTTAGTTATATATATATATATATATATATATATATATATATATATATATATATATATATATATATATATATATATATATATATATATATATATATATATATATATATATATATATATATATATATATATATATATATATATATATATATATATAAAATTCATCAAATCAAAAGGTTTCAAAATAATGGCAGCATATTTTATAGATACTTTACGGTCATTAAACATGCTTAATGAATTTAGAAATGAATCACATCGATCAATAATCAACTTCTTTAATTGAAAAATAGAATTATTCTTCAAAATATATATTTGTATGAGGAGAAATTCTCTTCTCTGACTTTAAGGCAAGTAAATGGGCTATATGCACAGCTACTGTTTTTTAGCGGTAAACTTCCGGTGAAAGGTTAATGATACTATATCAAATGTTATAAGGTTCCTTTTACAGCCAAGACATCACAATGTAACTAAAAATCAGTTAAATAAACTTAAGCATTCAATTAGTTGTTTAAGCATAAAACGACATGATAAACCATGTAAACTTTAGTTGCAGCAGGCTAAAACAGAAACTTCATTGAAAATACTGGGGTAAAATAAAATGTTCATATTTGAATTTTTTTTTTAATGCAGTGCTCCATGTCCGGTCTGAGCACCGCTTTATTTCATATATCAATCAGGGAGTGAAGATTACCTATTTTCAAAGAAAACAGATCGTAAACGTGGTGATTTTGTAACAAAGACAGTTCACTGGAAGCCCTGGCCTGGCTGTCTGAAAAAGTAAAAGCTTGTGTGCATACAGCCTATTTCAAGTAACTGATTAAATTACTTAAAATTGAAAGCATTCAGTTACTTTAACAGTGGAAAAGTAACTTAACGAGAGCAATTAAATACATCGTAATTTTCTACACCAAGACTGGTTACTCCACAGGTAGCCATTTTGAATAGTTTGGTGTTTTTCAAATAAAATTATGTACATTTAGTAAAACACAGAACAATGCAAACATCAATATTAAACATTACATTTTTTATTCTATAAAAATGCCAACATGTGAAAATGTTTAGTTATTCAGCATTACAAAAGGAAATATTTACTCTACAAAATACACAAGTCATTATAATACATAGCGCATTAAGTGAAAAAGTTTAGGATGGTGGTATTGAATTTAAAGATCTGAAACATTTTAAAGAATACGTCTTTTAAATGACAATTGATAAACATTTTGCGGCTGCATTGTGATCAATTAAGTCACAATATAACGTCAAATTAATTTTGTTCTACATGCGCTTAAACTTTTTGTTGTTGTATAAACTATTTTTACACTTGTATACCCAACATATGGAAATGATAACATTTTGCACAATACTTCCTTTGATGTTCAATAAACTGGTCATATTTTTTTATTATAACATTAATGGTACAAGATATAAGAAATATACATGCCAGGGGGCAGGTATAGATCAAATACAAATATACAGAAGGTACATATGTAACAATCAAATACATATACATGGCAGAATTCACAAAGTTTTAAAGTGCATAGGGCTTTCTTATTTAGTCTTTGATACTACTAATATAGAAGCTAAATTCAGTCATCAATACCTTAAAACTTGGTTTCTTAGTATATTCACATTTATAAATGTAAAATTGTTAGTAAAGTAAGTAAATAGAATTTTCCCACAAGAGGTATAGAACACTGAAAATTGATAATACATTTTGCACCTCACTCCGCAAGTAGACTAGGTATGCACAATGCCAAAACAAGTGCAAAGCAGTCTACTTATATTCATTACAAAAAATACAATTCACATCAATTCCATTATTTTTATTTTTGTAAATAATGTTTTGCGACTAGTCATCTTTAAGACATAGATTTCCCTCAAACCTGCAGATGAACCATGTTGTGTTTGTGTATAAGCACTGCCTATATATCAGTAGTGTAGAGAGAACCGTTGGAACAGTGTTCAACCAGAGACAGATTACAGCTCCAAGGCCCCAAAGCGACAGCATTTAACACTGACACTTTCGAGCAATAAACTTGACATCTGTCAAGAGGGGCCGCAGTTTGAACGAGGGGCCCTCGTCTCCAAGTAAACAAGACTGCAGCATTTCACCTCCGCTCCGTCAGAGGTTTTCCCCTGAAAATGGGCTGCATCACGTGTGTGTGTCTGCTGGCCCTCGCTCACATGGATGGCTGGATTAGTTTTCATCCATCACAAGGGTGCAATGTGACATGTTGTTCTGAACAGCCTCCACCATGCGAACAGCAGTGTGCTCAGACTATAAATACCCCTGATCGTCCTGACCTGCCTCCATTACATCATACACCTCTAGTAGGAGCTTGTTTTGCGTAGCGCCCTCCTCCTCCTCCCTACGCATGGCCTCATATTTCGATAAAGCCAAAAATGGGTTGTTTTTTTCATCCTACTTCCATGTGTTGGCCATTCTGATCCGTATATCCCTGCCTGGCTGATACTGCATAAGTAGTGCACAAATCGAAGTCAAATATTTGAACAAAACCATTAGGCTAAAGAGATGTCATACTAGAATAGAGACAACAGAAAAGTGATCACTCAATACACCAACATGAAGAAACAGCTTAGGCCAAGTCTAATAATGTGCTATGCAGGCAATGTAAACATTGTATGTGTGCGTTATACACGATGTAAGTGTATTTCTATACGAGTATTTAGTGCTATATCAGTGTTTAAGGCCTCATAGTGAAATCCACTGAGTCATGCTAACTTTAGCATCATGGCTAACAAACATAGTCGCATTTAAAGCTCATAATTGACAAAACCCAAGCTCTGGCAGCCTCAGATTGTGTGCTGCGCTCAGTCTGGAGGGTTTGTGGTGGTGAATGGGTCTGGATGGACGGTAATGTGGTTGTTTAGCTGTTATATATCTGGGTCAGGGTGAAATGCTTTGTGCTCTCCTTTGTTTCGAGCACTCTTCCTGTTTGAGCCAAAGTGCAAACAGTGTTCATAAAAACGCAAGGATTTGCTAACAAAAAGGTGAACTTTGAACAAATCTGACAAAATATTACTAAACACAGAGGGTAACGTTAAATTATTTTTAAAGACGTTTATTCGTACACACAGTGACAAACATTTGAGCTAACGTTAATGAGAACCAAGGAGTCCTTTGGATTTCCTGTACACTATCTCGCTAAATAAACAAAAAGAGACCAAATAAAAACGATAGCATTAATAGAACGAATAAATTACTAAATTAATGATATAAATACATTCATGACTATCAAGCTGGTCTGAATAAATACTCAAAGCCAAGCTAACGTTAGCTGCTAACGTACAAACGGTCTCATTTTTTCTTCTCGACGTTCCCTAAGAACAAAATCAATCGAAACGCGGAGCAAACAGTATGTTAAAACGAAAACATAAGTGTTTTAACACGAATCTGTTAATTTCGTTTCGTTTTTTAGCTTTTTAGTTTGAAGGGAACAACAGGCTAATTTGACTAGCTAACATGCTAGCATCGGCTAACAACCATATTTGGCGAAACTCGCCAGGTTCACCAAGTTCATTCCTTTTAGCTATCAACTGACACATTAAACGACTTTACAACGAGGAATAACTGGACAACAGATATATTATGTATAGTAGCAGCTTTTCTACACATTTAACGTGATTCACATCTTGTTATAACGTTAAGACGAGCACTGTAATAGGTGAAGAAAGTGTTTTACTTGCCTTATTTGAGTAAAAAGAGAAGCTCCCAAAGTAAGAGACGGTGTGTATGTGAAACCCTCCGCGGCAGTCTGTGCTGCTAGTCCGCCGATGTGTCCGTTTCGGTGTGTACTATGTGTGTGTTTTTTCGGGCTGCTGTTTGTTGGTTTTCTTTAATAGCTGACCTGACGTCATGGAGATTGACACGTCTTTGAGGCGGGGCTTAGGACGCCAGTCATAACAAGTTGACTGTACAAAAACAACTTCTGCTCTGAAGCAATAACTCTATCGCAATTCGCAACACACTGTACTACACTTGTCAAATACTTGATTTTATTCACTGCAGTTTCCAAATAGGTGAGCTTCTTTTTCTAGAATTTCAAATATTTTTAAGATAAAGTGATACATAAAGGTCAATTAAACAACTTTACCAAGAGGTGAATTTTTTCTTCTTCCAGTGATTTCTGAACAAGTTCTGAGTACTGTAACTGATAAGATAAACAGATCTTACAAACACAAACACACCCTTAAAACGTGCCACGTTACCACAATTTCAGCCCAAATACCTTGATATACCATAGTAAACCATGTGTTTTATTACACAAACTTTAGTTTTTTGTTAAATTATACACCGTTTAATCTCCCTCAAATGGTTCTAAACCTTTATGAGCTTCTCTATGCCACTGAACACAAAAGAAAATAGCTTAAAGAAAGCTGAAAACCTGTAACCATTGACCTCTGTAGTAGAAAAAACAAATGCTATGGAAGTCAATGGTTAGAGGTTACTAGCTTTTTTTAATATAGCTTGTGTTCAACAGAAGAAAGAAACTCAAACATGTTTAGAATAAGTAAAGGATGAGTAAATGATGACAGTATTTTCAGTTTTGGGTGAACTATATTATTAACCATGGTATTTATAATATGATATAGTTATACAAATAATTTATTAACCAATCCAAGGTTGCCTCTTTTACTATACTATTACCACAGTTAACTGCATTGGTTTCAGAATGTGTTTTTTATTTATTAATATTATTATTTAGTAAAATCAGGCACAAAGTTTAATCTTGATCAGATCTTACCTTTTGACAATGTATCAGTATAAGAAAGAAAACAATCTTAGCGCACACTTTCTGTACAGTACATCTGTTTGCTGCAGGTTATTTTTACATCAGCTCTGCTTGTATCAGATGTCGATCTCCACACAGTGATCTGCTGACCCAGAGCTGGCTCTCTGAAGGACACGCTCATTCAGTCAGTACAACATTCTAGTCAAATCCATACCCATTCTAGATTCTGAACACTAGACACCTTAAAATGAAAAAAGTTGCTTAGCTAGACAGCATTTTGGGATGACGTTTTCAATAGGGTCATGTCATTAGGCCAATACCATTTCCTGCTTATTATCAAGCTATTTCATAACTGTAACTAGAGGCACTTCAATCATAACTTAATGTTAAACCTTATTGATCAATATGTGGTTCTTTTGGGATTCTTGGATAGGAAAAAAAGTAAATAAGAAAAAGAGAGTATAACAGGAAAGACATTGGGACCATTGTTTTTGTTTACATCCCCCAAAATGATCTATAACTATTTTCATTCTGCTGGAGCTCGTCTAAACATTTATATATTTTCCTTTAAGTACAAGTATTTCACCGTTGACAAAAGTGACACTTCTTCATTAGATGCTATTTACTATATACAAGTACCAATAAAAAATAAAAAAAACACAGTATTTCTCATTCATTAGGTACTAGTATAGGGGTGGCCAACCCTGTTCCTGGAGAGCCACCTTCCTGCAGATTTCAGTTGCTACCCATATCAAACACACCTGAACCAATTAATTAGGACCTGAACATCACGTGATAATTACAGGCAGGTGTGTTTGATATGGGTTGCAACTGAAATCTGCAGGAAGGTGGCTCTTTAGGAACAGGGTTGGCCACCCCTGTACTAGTAGGCTACATAAATCAGCTGTGACTAGTAACTATTGTGTTACTATAATTTCTAATTTTTGATTAACTTTTATAGGGATCTGCCATTGAAATCAACCATTCAGCTATAACAAATATGTATTCCGTGTGACCACACACTTTTCATAGATTATGATGTTTTGGTACTGTTTTAGATCTTACTGCCCATTATTAAATTCTTGAACTTAGTCACCATTTGATACCAGAACTTGCTTATGAGATGCTCTTACCTATTAAATATATAATATTTATCCCATAACAGCCCAGAATAAGTGTTGTTGCATCTCATTTTTATATAAATGTAACAGGATGAATATAATTGTACCCATGATTTAAGATTTGAATGTTATTTGATTTATTAGACCCGCAGAAAATAAAATACTATAGTATTGTTGAACTATACTGTATATGCTTACAACACTTTAACGAATGCTCCAGTAAGCATACTGTAGTATAAATTGAACTGATAAATACTGCAGTATATTGTTTACACTACAGTAAACCCCGGTGGATTGCAGTATAATATATCATATAAACTACATATTTGAGGTAACTTGTTCATATGGCAAAAGTCTTGTCGTCAAACTCTGTTGTAAGAGCAACAAATAATAATTTGAAGAAGGTAGTGGCAGAAGGTAGATTTTTCCCATGAATCATCTGTTGAACTGTATCCCAATCATCACAAATACTGCTGAAGACTTAATGGAACCAGCATGGACCCAAGATTCACACAGAAATCCGTCAAGTTTGCTGAAGGAAAAATCATGGTTTGGGGTTACATTCAGTAAGGGGGCGGGAAGGTGATCTGCAGAGTGGATGGCAACATCAACAACCTGAGGTATCAAGATGTGTGCTGCCCATTACATTACAAACCACAGGAGAGGGCAAATTCCTCAGCAGGATAGCGCTCCTACTCATACTTCAGCCTCCACATCAACGTTCCTGAAAGCAAAGAAGGTCAAGGTGCTCTAAGATTGGCAAGCCTAGTCGCCAGTCATGAACATTATTAAGCATGTCTGGGGTAGGATGAAGGTGGAGGTATAGAAGATGAAACCAAAGAATACATTACTGTCCTAATTAAATAACTAAAAATCAAGGCATGATCATATTTTATTTTGGCAAAATAAGAGTAATCTAGAGGCCTTTGCTTTTCATATAATCTACTTCTGATACCAAATGATCAACTAGAAGTTATTATTTGTTGTTTCTAAAACTTGGATAGGCAACAAGACTTTTGTCAGGTAGTGTAGTTGTGTTACTTTAGCAAGTATAAACATATCAAAACAAATTAATTAAATTACAATAGTATGGTTAAAACACTACAGCAAAAGTTACTCTAGTAAATTTTCAGGGAAGACACTTGTGTTTAATATGTCTTCTTGGACTTAAATTAATGTATGAATGCACAAAAATACATAATCTCATATCTTATATTACACTATATGTTCCAGGATGCATTTGGATCAAAATAACACGCATCTTGTCAACAGGAAAACAATGGAACGAGTCTCGTTGGACGTCTTTTCGTTTCAAAACAACTGGGTGTCTGTTTTGAAAGCGCTCTCGTATTTTGCCCTCTGGGTATAAATAGAGCTGCAATCTGATACAAGAGTCCGACTCGCACTCCATGTGGAAGAACAGCACCGACCACTGCTTTCTGCCCTTTGAATGATTTGAAGCACATAATGGAGTAGAAGACTTGGTGATCATATAATGCATTTCCCCAAACTTAAGTAGTTGCATTATCAGTAAACAACCAGTAAGAGCAGAGTTTCACCTGATAACAAACAGTGATTAAATTACTCGAGTCATCAAATTTTACTTTACATACGTACAGCTTTTGTAAACACCTATCAGCTTTGATTATTGATGTGAATCAAAAAGTACAATTTTTTAAGGGCTTACAATGAAATTAAGTCATTTATTAATGACAAAAAACCTATTTCAAACCTGATAATGCACTTTTAGCACTGAAGTGAGATCATGAGATATTATTATCGTATAAAAGAATATATCAAGGTATAAAAGAGATACAATTTTAGCGTAAACTGCTTAAGAAAAACACTATTGCTAAAACAAACAAACAAAGACTCTCTTGAAAGAGCATTAGTTGGTTTATTCTTTCCACAGGACACCATGGAAAGCAAATTTATTTACAAAATCTGGAATGTTGAATAAATGCATACCGATCATCTTAATAGTAGCTGCTTGTGGAGGATCTTTTGACATAGCTATACATTGATAGGGCTGCTTCTGTGATGCAAATTATTGCTGGTTTCTTAAAAGACGTAATCACTAATGCCATAAACAAATCATAGACCTTAAAAAAAAAAAAAAAGTATTTACATTTTGATTAGTAATCTCGAAAAGTCAAAGTATGCTAAATAAATAAAAGGTGGGACATTTAAAAAAATAAAACGCCAGTTTGTTTTTAGTCACTGTTATTATGTTTTTACAATGTCTATACAGACAAAATAAAATAAAGTGACAGTCGAAGGATCTACACTATGACTGATTTGTGACAAAATGGAAGGAACAGCGTCCACAAAAACATTGCGTTATACGAATCATTCACAGCAAAGTTGAGGAGTGTCGTTTTAATTACCAACATTATACACTACAAATGGATAGTCCACCCAAAAATGAACACTAGGCTGAAAGTATGTAGATTAACAGCTATATAGGAGACTTTTCTTTCTCCAGTATGTGCATTAAAGAAGATTTTTAGATGAACCATGGTCTTCGGTGATTCATATAATGCAAGTAAATGGCTATATATGGTGCTTTGAGAGTCGAGAAATAGATTTAGGCAACATATAATTAATACCTCTTACTCCTGATGACTCACTGAGGAATTATAAAGGGAATCAATCAATCTGTGTCAGAAATGGAACATTATTTACAACAATATAAACGTTCAAGGCTTCTGTATTGACAAAAGTATTAATTTTGTTTTGCCTATATGTTTGACTCTCAAAGCACCCTATATAGCAATTTGCTTGCATTATATAAATCACCAAAGACCACAGCTTACTTTACTTTATTTAAAAGTATTCTGTAATTAGTATTGGGTAAAGCTACTTTAAAAGTAATATTACAATCTTAAGTCAGTTTTATTTTGTTTACGATTAATTAAACGTGTTACTTAGGTACTTTTAAGAGA